AAAACTTAAACCTCTGTCCACAATAACTGGATCTTAGGCTCTGACCCTCCAAGTGAAGTGATGGCTTACCAAGTCAGTAACAGCGAGGTATATTCTGAGTGATTCAAACTAAACCCACTAACTGGAAGATGAAAGCAACACAGAGTCTACCATGTAAACATGGGAAGTGTTTTCATTAAGGAACCAACAGTTTCAGTAGCTGACAAGCTTCATGCCCCTACAGCGCAAGCTCCCCATTAGATGGCAGTGTGAGTTCAGATTACACCTTCCGAAAAGGATTAGCCATGAAGCCCCAGGTACACGGACCTGACTGACCCAGTGGTCAGATGCAAAACCAACAGGAATGTTCTCAACACGGCAGCATTCACTTTCAAGTACGAGAACGACTTGCAGTGATGACCTGCGAGCCAGCAAAACAACAAAAACCCTTCTGAGAGAAAGTCTAACTACCCGCGCAGAGGAGCCTGGGTACGGCTGCATCACTGGGCTCACACCGAGGGGAACACGCTCTCCTGACCTGCAGGTAGAAAGATAGGAGGAAAGGGGGCTCTTCCAAGTGTGTGTCACACTCAATTCTCATAGCTTTCACTCCAGCACCAGTGTTACTCTGCACCTTAAATATTATGAGCTTGTTTTACGTTGTGTGTCTTTTTTCCTTTTTTGGTCCAGTTTATGGACCTAGGCACTACATCACAGCCCACAAATCTGTTTTCATAACATTTCTGAAAATTTACCCAAGGCTTTTCCCTTCCACACTCATACTAAGAATTATTTTGTCACCTTTCCTTGCCTTCTAAATGGAGCAGGAAAACTGGCCACCTTTTCTTTGTACTGGAAAGCAAACTGAGGAGGAGCAAGTCAGACCTGCATTGTTCATGAAGCCTCTGTGGAAATAAAGATACTAGTGGTGCATCAACTGACTACTCTAGACAGCTCTTCCCAGGTAGTAATTTCACAAAAAGGTTGCAGATCCCATAAAAACAGGAGGGGGAAAAAACAGGAGGGGCAAAGCTCCATTTTAAGGCCCTAACTCCCATGTATGTACTGTCTCCAAAAACATTACTTATAGATATTCTCCTAGTAGGCAAAGAGTATTTTTAAGAAATAAAACAGAGTGAAGGCTTTTACTTATTAATATGAACCTGTTTTTACCTTCTTTTTCAGTTAAGTTTGTCTCCATCATAATTTTATGCAGTGCAAAGAATGCATATTTGCGACAGTATCATAAATCAGAAATACAGACTTTTTACAAGAAAATCCTAGTCTCAGTTCAAAGTGAAGTTATTTTTTTCTGAGCAATTAGTAACATTTTTATAAGTATCAAGGCACCATGTGTGCAGAACATCAGTTAAAACTCTAGGGATATGCAGGACTTCAGCAGCCGAAGGAGGCCCATAAACGCCAGCTGTTAAGCCTGTGGGCTGAAAGACAGCAGCGTGCACGCCGAGCACACCAATAAAACATTTATTAAACTCTGCCCCACACCAAAGAACAACACTGTATTCGGCTACTCGCGCTTGCTACTCATGGTCACATGAAGTGGCCACAACACTGCAAGGCTCCTCCTGGCTCCACCTTGTGCATTTGACTGTGGGCTGAGAATTGCCATGAACACTCAGCACTGTAATTACCAGGAGCTGATTCCTCTTCCAAAGGCGACCTCACCACTTTCGTCTGGTAATTCATCAGGACCATGGTACCTTATAACAAGCAGTCATAATTCTTCAAACCTTCTCAATTAGTATATTTCAACAAGCAAGTAATTAAATCCTGTTATTCCTTCTCTGATGATATTTTTTAAAAAATTAAAAATAGGTCCTCTCCCATCTTTTAATTATAAAAGAAACCCCAAATGACATTAAGAAACAAAAGTAAAAGACATAGTAAAAGGAAATGCTCTCAGGGATTCTAACCTCAATGTTAACACCATTCTCTACAGGGACCAAAGCTTTTATCTAAAAGATATTAAGAGAGTCAGGGAAATAAAACCCACACCAATATTTTAACATCTGCTTTTCCTTTCCTACTCTCTTTTTCTAAAATAAGGCTTCTCTAACTGAAGTCAGACTTCAATAAAACAAATGCAGTTTTCCTGACAGTATCTTTAAAAGGTGAAAAGGAACCTGGAAAAGCATTTTTCTGGCCAAACTATATACGCTTCTTCTTGGTTTCTATACCTTTTCCTACCTTCACCTTCCATTTTCTTGCTTCCTAGTACCTCTATCCACTCTTTTTTTTTTTAAGTGAATGTTGTTGTTGTTTTTAAAATTTATTTATTTTATTTATTTTATTTTTGGCTGCATTGGGTCTTCATTGCTGCACACAGGCTTTTCTCTAGTTGCGGCGAGCGGGGGCTACTGTTCATTGCGGTGCGCGTGCTTCTCATCGCGGTGGCTTCTCTTGTTGTGGCTCACGGGCTCTCATGCGCAGGCTCAGTAGTCGTGGCGCACAGGCTTAGTTGCTCTGCGGCATGGGGGATCTTCCCGGACCAGGGCTCGAACCCGTGTCCCCTGCATTGGCAGGCGGATTCTTAACCACTGCGCCACCAGGGAAGCCGTCTATCCACCCTTCCTTTTGACCAGAAAACTTGCGAAAGACTTTAAATGGGCAAAAAGATTCCTGGCCATCCTTTCACTGTCTGGAGGGCCTGCCCAGGGTCCCCTGATCTTCCCCCATCCATGCCTTGTCTCTGCTCTGCAGCTCTGTTACAGAAGCAGAAGTGGAGGGTTGATGGTGACCAGGGATGCCTGGCACAGAAATACCTGTCAGGTGAAGATGCAACTGAGGAGAAGTGGCCGGTGTTGCACCTTTCAGCATTCCTCACTGCCCATTATGTTTGTCCTCTGGAATTCCCCCTGAACTGGTTTTATCATTTCACTGGTTTTCCCATTAATTAATGAATTAAATAAAAGCTTGGACATGTGCACATTTTGTATTTGTATGAGAGTCAAGCTTTTACCTTTTCAAAAACTATCCTTTAGTTATTCCATGGCTAAGCAGATTATTTCTGAAACTTTCAAGTAACAACTTGAAAAAAATATTACTGTTAATTTTATCACCATTTAAGCACTTCTTGAACGTACATAATACTATTTTAAGATTTGAATACAATTCATCACCCTGAACTCTTAAGTCATAAGAAGATTCTTTCCCTGGGGGCACAGCACTGAGTAGCACACATGTAAGAAGAGCAGGGGATCACGGTGACGACGACGAACATCCAACCAGTGCCCACTGCGAGTAAGCGTCCCCACCGCTGAAACGTACACACCATGTGACCCAGGCCGCCCAGTCTGCACCCTGAAGAAGCTGAGCAGACTCCAAGTCACCCTGCAAGTAAGGGGAGGGCCAAGAATTAAACTCAGAGAGGGGCTCAGACCCAACTAGACTGCCTCGGAGAAGAAGGAAAACAACTTCTAAAGAGCCACAGGCACTTTCAGCGCTCCTGGCTGGTTACCAACGTTACCTCGGGATTATCCCGAAATGTATTAAGAAAAAGGGCTGTAAGAGAGAGTTCAAGCCGAACCCCTGTGTGAGTAGCGGCAGTAACAGGAACAATCAAGACAATCAAAAAGTAAGAGGACGTGAAAAGGTAAAGAGATCAAACGAGGGGTGAGTTACACGCTAAACTAAAAATTAAGGAAATCCATTTTATGATAGTAAATAACCACTTTAATTCTAACTTTGATAGTTCCATCTAAGGCTCAGACAAAAGTCACACCATATTCCTATAATCCTTGTACAAAGGCGCAAAACTGTATCTTCCTTACAAAAGAACAATCCAAAGAGCCCTTCTGCTCCACACTTCCTTTGTGGTGGGTCTTGGAAAGAAGCCGAATCCAGGCCACTGAAGCAGGCCACTGAGAGGTTTACTCTCAACCACAAAGTCCATTCATGCAGGAAACTACACTCAAATAAAGACCCAGCAATTACTTTTCTTTCCTGGACCTTCTTGATCCTTAAACTCTTAATTTATCGGGCACTGAAACCCTTAAAACAGTTCCAGAATGACCCACGCTGGCCAAAGAGCTTCCCAGCTGTGACCCAGGACAGTCCCCACTCACTAAAAGCTGCCAAACCCCAGGCCTTTTTCAACACAAGACAACTTCCCAAGACAAACCTGTGCTCCCTCCCTCTCAGCCAGGGCAAACCCCAGCAGGTGAAAAAGAAGCTTACTTTTGATTTACTAATGGTCTTCAAGTGTAGGCTTGAAGGTTAAATATATAAAGATCAGTGGACAACTTTCTCCATTCCTAGAAAAACCTAAAATAAAACTATGGCTAAAGCATTAGCAGAACTAATCTGTCGCCTGCAGAAATGCTTATGGAGAAACACTCAGTAGTAACTTCACCGGCAGAGTCACTAAGGCCGAGAGACAAGTCAGAAACATCTAACGTGTTAGGTGAACTGACTAAGGAAGATGCAAGGATAAAGGGACTGATTATAAAATCTACGAAAACACTGTACTAGGGAATAAGAACAGGGAATTCTAGATTTGGTCCAAGACATCTTGAAAGATTTACCTGCCACAATTCTGGTAAAGTAAGTCTGAATTAAGTATGAATTACAGGTAGGGGTTGTAAACAAAATGACAAGACTACCTCGGTTCTACTTACTGCCAAATATATCCTGAAAAATCAAGCACATGGAAAATTCTGTTTTCATCTCAAGTACCATCTAAATATTTAAACTTACCAACTCCAGACAACCCGTTAATTCTCATATCATTAAAAGTATTAGTTATTCAAAATTTCAAGATACTTTTCCTCTTCACAAAATGTAAACTCAAAAACTGAAGAGGTAAGTAGTTTTTGCCAACAATTGGGAGGTTCGCTCTAGCAAAGCTGACCAAGCTCCTAGAGATGATGCCCGACTCCCAACAACAGAGGTGTCTTCAACTGTGCTTCCCTGGATGTTCCTGGAGCCTGACTCTCTTCACTGAGTGCACAGAACTTTTCAGCAGCTAGAAATAAAGACAACGGAGGCAAGGCGGTACTCACTTTTCAATCTCAATGCCGAGTGGATTAGCAGGACGCAGGGACAAGGGAGGAATCCCTTTATTCCTGTCAGTGCGCATGTCATAGTAATTCATCTCATCAACCCACACAGCGGACTGATCCAAAATACCTACCAAATGAGGAGCACAGCCTTAATAAGATACACACTCCCCAGGCACTAAGTCTTACCATACTGCTTTACTGTTGAAAGACCTAATACAGAATGCATGCTACAGTAATGTTTTAAAGATTTGAAGGCACAAAAGCTCCAGATTTTTTTTTTTTTGTAATGGCTGGTAGCTTAATTAAAACCACTAAAAATCTATAAAAAGGCAAAAATAACACCTCTTGATTGCACTGTACATTATTCAGTACAGAAGACAAGTTAAGTCTCTGAGAAAAAGTTCTCTAAAACAAATGTATTTCACAAATAATAAGCAGTACAATTAATCTGGTACATCAACAAAACACCCAACAATCCTTACATCAATATAAAGAAATCAAACACCTTCCACGGAATGCACGGCTTATGTGATGGAAATGACTAGGATATTCAGGAAAAACAAAATATAATCTCTGAAAACAGTACCCTCTTTCCTGTGGCTCGGACCGAGCCGAAACAGAGGCTGGGCAGTGTGCGAGGGAGCGGAGCAGAGCGCAGGGCCGGGGGACCAGAGGGCTCCTTGTGAGCCTTCTAACTCTATGGGCACCCACAGGTCTACCAGGATGACACAAGGAAGCTCTGTCAGAGGGTAAGCTCAGGCCCAGACACTCCCAGGTTCAGGTCTATAGGCCTTTCCTGAGCCTGTGCTGTGCGAAGTCCTGGGCAGAGCATTTTAGCATAAAATCAATACTTTCAAATAAGTTTTCTTCATCTGCTGTATAAACATGATACAAGATGATGCTGGATTCTGTCAAAATGTTTTTAAGTTCCTCCAGAAAATTGGAAACAAGTTCCTGCTTTAATTTCACAGTTCAGTTTTCAAAGACATTAAATAAGAGTAAACAAAAACAAAAATATTGTATGATATATATGTACATACGTTTACATAAACACACGTACATAAATGTAAATTCCATTTTTGGTTTTCCCTTAAGTTCCTCAAATTTTTATTAAAAAGAATCAAGGAATTTAAGGATATAATGCTGAAGAAAGGCTTTATGCTCTAAGACAGAAAACAAAATTTGCAAAACTCTTTGCTTTTCTATTATGAGAGAAGTAAGGCCTGGGTTTAATTATGCCTGTGATAGTCCTACATTATACAAATATTTATTAAGTACTGACCATGCGCAAGTCATTACAGGACCACAAAGATGAATCTAACAGTATTCTTACTTTAGCAGAGGAGATGCCATATACATAAAGAGCTAGGAGACGAATAATTAAAAACACTAATTTATGGAGCCCTTAGTTTGTGTGAGGACCTTTGCTAAGCACTTTCTCCAATGTTCTAACTCATTCAATCCTCTGAGGTAGGTGATTCTGTGACTCCACTCCACCCGCAGCTGGCTGCTCGTGTGATCAGAGTCCCGGCTTCTCAGACCAAGCTCTGTGCCCCAAGGTGAGGAAGCACGGGTTAAGGGCACGAAGGGAACACAGGAGGGGCTCTAGGGCACAAGAAGAGTGTGATTTCTAGTTTGGAGGCCAGAGGCACACCTAGGTGGGCAACATCTTGTCGGGGCCTCAAAGGACGCAGAAAGTAAAGGAACACAGAACATTATTTAGGCATTACTGGCTAATTTGGCCAAACCAGGTATGTATTTCACCTCAAATCTTATCTGTATCACAGCAGGAAATGCAATTATTGTATTCAAGATCAAGAAACTAAAATCGGCATTTCGACGTGTTACATGAACAGCTTTTATACAGGACAGAACAGCAGTTCTAATGATTAGTTAGCATCCTCAGGGTTTACCGTCAGCTCAGCTAACTGCCTTTTCAAAAGTAATGCAGACTTTAACCAATATCCCATTCCTGAAAAAATAAACATAAACTGAATCTAAGTTAATGACATATGAGAGTAAGTAAATTTTATACTAATTTACCAGTTGTCAATTTTAAAAGACAAAACCCACTTTTATTTTCTTCTTTAGAGTAAAGTCATGGGAGGTGATACCTATTTTCTCAGGTCTGAGCAGCTTGAAGGAGACTGTGGAGGTTCCTTTGCCACCTGACTTGGTTGTGACAATAATGTCTCCTTTGTCGTTCTTGGCCTGCCCCACGCGACATACAATTTTACTCGGAGACATCCACTCTGCTGTCAGAAGGCAATTATGCCCACAAATTGTCAGACCTGAAAGTAAAAGCATGCATGCACATAACAAAGTCCAAAGAACGGCTATTTCATGAAAAGACAATTCTTCTGTCAGTATCGCCAGGCCTTTTTCATGAACTGAAAAACAGAACTAGAAATAGCATTTCCTGATTCATCAGTTAGTTATTTCTATTCTTGAATATACCCAATATTATTCGTAAATAAACGACTGTCTCTACTGAATTTGTCTGTTTTTTCTCTAATATTCAATACTTCTTTTAGATTATATTTAAGTGTCTTCAAAAATCATTGGAATTAGAAAATAATAACCATAATAATGTCTAGGCACTCCAGATTACTTAACTATGAGAATCTTAGATTGCTTTCATAGGTATTAGAAAGGAAATTATTGTTATTTTTAGAAGTCCAAGTTCGTGCTATAAAGCTCTAAAGCGTATTAATAAATGTGTACATCATTCCCTAAAAAAAATATTTATCATCTTCCTGAAAATAATCCGCACATACTTTTCCTAGTGTTCAACTATACATGATACTACAGAATGAACTAAAGTTGGTAGTTTATGTTAAGCACAGCCTGAAGTCTGTTAAATCAGTAAATGTTCTCAGGCATTACTGGATTACTAGTGCATTTTTCATGTCTGTACATCACTCCTGCAACAGCAGTCCACGCTGCCTAAATGTTTCCCTCATGGTCCTGTCGCTGTACTACACTCTGCTCCCAAAATCTCAGCTCACGCCTGGCATCTCTGCCCAGACCCACATAAACTGTGATGCAGACAGGGAAGACGTGGCCCCAGGCAGAGGACCACCATCCCACCACGTGCATTTCTGCAAAACAGAGACCAGTGTAATAAACATTCATGGAGAAAACAGACCAAAGTGTATTCAGCAAACACCCAGACACTCGCACTTTCTTTGCTCATCATTTAACTTTTGATACTGCTCGGCAGTCAAGTTTAGCAAATGCAAGCTTTTTGTTTTGTTTTGTTTTTTTTAATCAGATACCAGGAACACCTCAACTTATGCGAAATTCGGTTGAAAAAATGTAGGGAGGGATTCAAGTCATCTTTTGTTACAACTTAAAGCACTATTTAGAAAGAATGTTATATTAACCATAAAGGAATAAAAACGACTCCATTTTAAAGATGTTTATTGAAATAATTAATTTCAGAGATTTCCCTAAGACATCTATTACTATTTATTCATGTAAGGAATTCAGTTTTTCTAATGACAGCACTTCAAAGTTCCTTTAGGACTAAGTTTTCCATTGGCTTTTTAAATGTGTAATGACATTTACACATTTTTAAATGCATTCATAATTCAAAATTATTTTTCAAAATGGGAGTGTTTGTTAGTTTTCTTGACGCTCAACTTTTATTATGAAAAATTTAAGCCTTTTAAGAGGTTGAAAGCACCCCCTGAAACTCCTCTCCATCTCCAAGGTAAGCCTGTGAAACACTTCAATACATACAGTGCTCAAATAATTTTTATGTACACATAAATCAGTCTATGTATTTTTTTATATAAATGGGAAATGTTTTAATTTATGAACTGTTTAGTTATAGATGATATATATTTCAATATCACTCCAGGTCAATACATAACTTGACATTTTTAAAATTTTACAATATCAAAAAGATTTTTGTGATTTAAATACTAACTTTAGAAAGGAAATAACGCAACCCAATGTCAGGACTTAATGTATTAAAGTTCCTAATATAAGTCCCCTGCTGGGGAGCTATCTTACGATTAAAACTGAAAAATGGGAGATTTTAGATATACAGACATAAAGTCTTAAAAACATGTTCAGATGAGCAAACATGTATGATATCCATGATGATGCAACTTTGAGAAAAAGCACCCGGAATAACAGTTTATTCATCTCGTTGTAGCTGCTATCGAGGTTCCTCAGATTTAATATCTGTTCTGCATTTTAACTTAAAAAGTTAATAATCACCATATAATTTAAAACACAGATTTAAACAGATCATTTTAAATGCATGGAAATTAAATAAGATCATACGATCTATTTCTTAAACATGTTTTGCCAAGAAATCTGCTTCATGAAATATAACATCTTTTTTTTTTTTTTAAGTAACTTGTAGAATTCCACATAAAGTGTTTTTGTAGTATTTTACTTGGCTAGTGTAGATGTCACCGGAGTTATAAAAACACTTAAATTATTTAGTAGGCTAAGTTTGCTTTTTTAAAAAGTGATTTCTTCGCAATACATGGGCAGGCTGAAAGCTGAACTAGCAGGTTTATAAAAGTCATGCGCACTCAGTCAAACAGGAATCGCACTGCCTGAAGCTAAAGCGAGATCAGCATCCACACAGACGGGCAGCAGTCACGTGTGAGGGCTCAGTGACTGCCAGTTAAACTGAACCTCCGTCTAGATGGTCTATTTCCATGAATTCTAGGGATTTTTCCACTTTGGATAAAGAACAACCTGGAATGAGCTTTGTCAAGAACCAAGACATAGGATAAGAAAAACTACCTTCATAAGGATAATAAACTTAAGTTTTATTTACTGAAGAATCAAAAACTGTAGCTAGAGAAAACAGTATAAAATGAGACATAGTTAAGTAACACTAGTGAAAAGAACGAGCTGGGGAGGGCAAGACTCAGTAATTAAACATGGTGCCCAGCTCTAATCAACCTTTTCTTTTCCAAGGGATTTCTGGATGGCCAAAAAACAATGTGTCAACCAGCAGCTATAATGCAAGAAAAACAAGCTGCAACTCATAATCTCTAGTATTTACCAAGGAGTCCTTCATAAATTAAGAAATGAGTCAAGTGAATGTCTGAATCCAAATAAATTAACGTGTGGGAAATCAGAATACACATTCAGCAGCACATACTGAGGTGCCTCCCCCCTCTCTTATTCTGAATGTATCTGCACACCCTCATGCAGAGTTCACATGAAAATAACCCAAACTGACCACACACTGATATTTATGGTTTGCTCTCTATCCTGGCAGTGCTTTACACTCATCTGTGTTTTATAAAAAGCAATGATAAGGCTCCATCTTTAGAGACTGAGTCTTAGCAGCTAAGGCAAGAGCATTTTTTTAAGAGAAGATGAAGACAAGCCAGGTGAGAACCACTGACAGACCAGAATAATGAAATAACCAGCAGGAAAGGGTCTCCCCCAGAAGAAGGGGGCACACTGCAAAGCAAAATCAAAAAAACACTCGCGCAGTGCCAAGTGGATGCAGAGTGTTCTATCGCTCGCGTCCTTGGGCTCATAAAGATAAACAGCATAAGCTGATCCTAAAAACGAAAACGTAGCTTGCTCTAAATATGTAAAGATTAGGGGAGCCTAAGGCAAACCATGGGCGGGCATGAGTTTGCAGAGAGCCTGTGCCTATTAAGTTTGGAGGCTCAGTGCTCCCGCCCCAATGGGCATCGGGTGCAGACAGATGCCCACAGGTCCCAGGGTGCGGCCCGGCAGAGCGCACAGGCTCCTCTGGGTGGAGGGGGTTTAGATTTGGTTCCGAGAGCAATAAGGAACAGAAGAGGCCTAGCTCACCCGGCACCTGAGAAGAACAGACAGCTGTATGAGGGGAGGCCAGAAGAGCTGGGCGGCTGTTTTGGCAGTCTTGGCAGGAGAGGCCGACCCCGAGGAAAGGAGGCAAACCTCGGCTGTGGGGGACTTTCTCAATGACCAGGCGAAAGACAATACAGGCAAGATCTGACAAAATAATGATTTTAACAGAAAAATCAGAAAACCAAATAATTCTTTCATTTCTATTCAGATCACCCTGTACAGACCTCAGGGGTGTTTTTCTATCACCTTCACTATTTCAAAATAGTATATCTTGCCTCAGCTGCCCAACATAAAAATGCATTCACCATGAACACACAGCATCGTCCCTGCCCTTACCTATGAGGTCAGCTGGCCCAGTCCCCAGGTTTTCTCCCCTAATCGTGACCTTTGTCCACGGGATTCCTTCATTTGGAGAGATGCCTGTCACGAGGGGGGGTTGTCGTGTTCGAGACATTCTGCTTGTTGAGGAAAGTAGAGGTCAAGCTACAGAAGTAATCTGTAGAAGAGAAAGGAAAAAAGGGTTAGTGCCAACTGAGATAAGCAGCAACTAGAAACGCCAGAACTAGACATTCAGTACCAAAACACAGCAGTATTCTGCAAACATGCAGCGCTGGGTTTTTTAGCTGTCAGTTAGCCTGTCTGCCAACAATTCCTGCACATGAAGGTGACTAAGGACACTAGCTAGTACTGGGAGGGAGACATCAAGAACATAAACTTCTGATGCAAGGACAGACAGAACCTAAGGTCCCCCTGAGCTCCATGCCACCACCTGCTGCACCCAAAGTATATGCTGGAAGCTCCTGAAGGAGCACATTCTGAACTAATCAGATTCATAAAATTAAAGAACATCTCCATTCTCATAGGTGTACTGAATTTCATTTTATTTTTGTGTTAGACTTAGTGTAGCAACTCTTTTAAATGTGCTCAAATCAATACACTGACATCTTCGACACTGAGACAGGAGCAGAGACTTGCTAACTGCCCCAGTGCAGAGTCGGCAGAAGTGCAGCTTCTGAGTTCAGATGCCCTGAGCTCTAGTCCTGGCGCTCTAATCCGCTCCAAACCTCTGTTTTCATATACGGACACTGCGGCCAGTAATAGAACCTTCCATAAGGCTACAACAAAGATCAGGTACATAATCCCAGCAGAGCAGAGCACCTAGCGCACAACAGGCAACCAGGAAATGAGAAAACCTCATTAATAAACCCACAGAACTCCTCAAGTGCTCGAGGCTTCAGATGCTCCAGAAGACAAGGGAAGGGTGGGTTCAGAGAAAAACAGCTGCTGGTTGTCTGTCTTTTCACAGAGCGAAGTTAAGACAGTGGCCCCTGCTTTCACCCCACCATTAGCCAGATCAGTTCAATCTCTCACGAAACCAAACAGAAAGGACCAGTACTGAGGGACAGACACCAGGCACAGAGAGGAGGGCGCCAACCCTCTCACCCAACTCCACTCTGTCCGGGTAACAAGAATCACTCTGGAGAAACTAAGGAGCCCTGGAAAGACAGAACCGAAGACTCTAACATGGAAGGGTCCTCCCAGAAAGGACTACTTGCAGCCACATCACCCAAGGAAAAGCATATACAGACCAACTCTGCCCATGCATAGACTAAACAAGCAGCTGTCACAGCCTCATCCTAAAAGGCACAAGGACCAAGACTGTAAGGTGGTCAAGGAAAATATGTGAGCGAGAGATGACAGTCAGATTAACAAAAAAGATCCAGGGCTTCCCTGGTGGCGCAGTGGTTAAGAATCTGCCTGCCAATGCAAGGGACACGGGTTCAACCCCTGGCCCGGGAAGATCCCACATGCCATGGAGCAACTAAGCCCGCGCGCCACAACTACTGAGCCTGCGCTCTAGAGCCCGCGAGCCACAGCTACTGAGCCCACGCACCACAACTACTGAAGCCCGTGCGCCTAGAGCCTGTGCTCTGCAACAAGAGAAGCCATGACAATGAGGAGCCCACGCACCACAACCAAGAGTAGCCCCCGCTCACAACCAGAGAAAGCCCGTGCACAGCAACGAAGACCCAACACAGCCAAAAATAAAAAAAATTTAAAAAAGATCCAGAGGAAACAGAGATAAGGCTACGGGCTAAAGTGCTTCCCTGCAAATTACGTTGAGGTACTAATCCAGGACCTCAGAATGTGACTGTATTTAGAGATCAGGACTTTAAAGAGGTGGTTAAGGTAAAATGAGGTCACCAGGATGGGTGCTGATCCCACAGGACCAGTGTCCTTATACGAAGAGGAGATGAGGACACAGACACACACAGAGGGACAACCACGTGAGGACACAGGGAGAAGGTGGCATCTCCAAGCCAAGTAGGGAGGCCTCGGGAGAAACCAGCCCTGCCAACACCTTGATCTTGGACTTCTAGCCCCCAGATCATGAGAAAACACATGTCTGTTGTTTCAGCCTATGGTACTTTGTTATGGCAGCCCCAGCAAATTAACACAGTGGATAACAGGAAACACACACACACACACACACACACACACACACACACACACTTCAAAAGTGCTGTACACTCTGACCCCCAAATAAATATCTGCAGAAGGAGAAAACTCTTATGCCTAAAAGAACAGGATGCCATGAAAAGGAATCAATCCAAGAATAACAGCTCTTGAAACTTTCAAAAGAGGCAAAAGAAAAAAGATTTATATTGTCCTGTTAATGTAAGAACTGACCGTTGGTTTAACAGAAGTGGTAATAAGGCTGCAAATAGGCAGATGTGTATCTGGGAAGAGGGGGAGGGAGTTTTAAATTTTATCCAGAAGTGACTATCCAGATATTGGCAGATTAGCCACAGAATCTGGAAACATGGAAGTGGGTGCTGGCAGAGTGAGCTAAACAAGTCTGGGCTGTGCTGGATAATACAGAGGTGACAGACCTTTGTCCCTGGTTTCTGGGAGAGAGACTCAAAATCCAAGGAGTGTCTTGGCTCTTCATGAACCCTAAGTACTGCTCGTACGTAGTGCTCATGGCAGCCCAGTACCAGGACTGCCAAACCAGAGACAGCAACCCTGTGATTAGAGGGCTGGGGTTCTAAGCCAGGTGCCATCAGCTTGGCCTCCTCTGAGAAAGGGGAGGGGGCTGGAGACTGAGTTCAATCATGCCTATGTAAACTCGTTTAACGCAATTAAAACAGCAAAACAACAGCAGCAAAAAGCGAAGAACCACAGGAGGTTACCATTCACTTAATAAGCCAAATGAGGCAACCCAAAATTATCTTGAACGCCCCTTCCTCCCCATCACACTCCCTGAATCAAACAGAATCCCCTGGCAGAGTCCAAGGTCCACTGCTTCTCTCCCTGGATACTGAAGCCAGCCGGCTCCTCACTGGTCACTCTGCCCCTGTTATCCCTTCGCTGCAATCCCCCCTCAGCAAACACTGGAGTCAATTCTCTAAACTACAGATCTAATCATCATTCCTGATTCAAAAAAACATCTCCCCCACTGCTCAGTGGTCTCCGGTCCCCACGACATCCTTGGCATCTTATTAAAACTTGTCACCATCAGACTCTTCTACACGCCTAGGTCATCCTCAGTCATTTCCCTCATCACCCACGTCTGACACTAAGCACACAAGCCCGCTCACCTCTTAAGAACCACCAGGTACTTTTTATGCCTTCCTGATTTCATTTACCTTATTTTGACTAAATAGAAAGACTTTCCAAGTTTGTTAAATCCTTACCAATATTTCAAAGTCAAGCTTAAATGTTACCTTCTCTAAAAAGTCTCCCCGATCCCTCCTCCTCCTATAACACTTCTGTTACAAAAGTGTTACATCTTAGATACCAAGTCTGTATCTCCTCATTGAAAACACATAATATTCAATCAACTCTACTTTTCTAATACCTGTCATACAGTACCTGACACAAAATAAACATGCCAGATGACTGCTGACAGAAGCTGAATAAATGTTTTCTGAATGTTCATGGTATCACTGGAATACTGGAATTAAAATGGGACGAAGAGGTACAAGGGGTAGAGAATAGGGATGGGGAGAGGTATTAGGTATACACATGAAAAAAACAAAAAAAAGTTTAAAAGACACTTGTATACAATAGCATCAAAAAGAATAAAATACTCAGGAATGAATTTTACAAAAGTGCAAAACTTGTACTTTGAAAATTATTTTAAAATGTTGAAAGAAATTAAAGACCTAAATAAATTGAAAGATGTGGACAGGAAGACTTAATACTGTTAAGATGGTAATACTACCCAGGGTTAGGGTTAGACCATTTTCAAGGTCACACACCCAATTCGTTGTAAAACAGACCAGACCCTTGGTTTCCTGACTCACAGGAGAGTCTGATACCACTCTTTC